CGCCAATATATTTCACCCTCGTTGTCCAACCTCTCCTGAACATGACGAAGTGGCAGAATGATGAAAACCAACTGAGCCGCCGCTGCCGACACCCATCGAAGGTCATGTGGAGCCAGGGTGGGCAGTAAGTCAAGTCAAGCCAAGTTTGGAGTCTTACTTGGTTTGACTTGACTTGACTTACTGCCCACCCTGTGTGGAGCTTGATGCCAATTGGATAGCATTCAAAAGAAGGAGGGCTGATGATGACGCATATTGCGATCACAAAAACTTGAATACACCCGGCCAGAGTAGAAAAAAGGTTGTGGAAGAAATTAAGTTTAGGGATTCACGATAAGAACTTATTTGTCTGCCTATACAGTCTCGATGAGTAAGATCCCATTTCAACGTCACCCCTTCAGCTCTTCATCTTTTCAGACATCTACCCCTTTTTCTTGCGTCTATTTCTTCAGCCAACAGTCACCTAGGTAGCTGTAAGATGCTTCACAGGGGACTGGCATTACACTCACTCAAGACCGCCCTGGAATCATATGGAGGTCAACATTCAGCTTGTATTGATATGTATGCAATTAGTAAGATTTATGATATATTTATTCATTCCACACCCATACCAGCATCAGGAGACAGCCATCTCTACAGAATGCAAGGCCCTGCTGGGACTCGTCCCTCCACGGTAGAAAATAGGGATTTCTTGACGCAACGAGCGACTTTGCTAATGGTTTAAGGTGGTGGTATAAAGTATTTATGAATATAACCAGCCCTGGAACAACGATCCCTTTTGACACATTCAAAACTCATCAAGACATATTGAACCAGTCCCCCGCGTGGTTGGAAATTGGACCACAATTGAAAGTCTGACGAGCAGAATCAATAGTCCACATCCTTGGCATGGTTGACGATCCCATCTCTGGTGCCGATCTTGAACCCCAGACCTCTAGTTTCTTCCCCTCTCTTTTGTCTGATACTGACGCGCGCTGGTACAACACGGAGTTGGCTCACGCTACCAGAATTGCGTCCCCCCAAACGATCCGAAGCGTTACCGCGCGGTCCGCGAATCCGTCCCAGTCTCGCAAAAAGAAAACAAACATTTCCAAAATTCAAAAGAAATGGCAAGATGTATGTATCGGATTCCCAGAACTTGAATCTCCTGTCATCCTTCTGACATAAATACCAACCAGGGGCAGACCTCAAATGCGCAGAACCCCGGTCACCAGAAGACCGATGATGAGGAGAAAGCCTCAGATTTGGCGGAGAGCTTTCCTGAGTTTGAGCATGTGATCGGCTGTGTTTGTGGCGAGATCTATGAGGGAAGACTACGAGCATTAGCGATCACAGTGATGACTCATGATTTCCCTCGGCGGCTACTGATTTGGAAGAGAGACTGGAAGTCGGGGAAGATCAGTTCCCGCAACAAAATGGACGACATATATGAGAAATGAAGCCATGCCGCGAGATTCCATGGCGATTTCAATTTGGTATCTCAAGGTACGATACATGACCAGTCGTTCCTTTTCAGTTTCTCTTATGACAGATGAAAGTCTTAACATGTTGGAAATAGGTGACCTGGACTTTCCAAAACCCTCTATCGAGGAGAAGAACCTTACAGCGTTGGAAGTTTGCGGCAGGAGAGGGTGACTGTGGTTGTGGTCCAATCTGCGAGGCACGACTTTGGTCCCTTGCTATCACTGTCATGCCACATCAAGCGCGCCATAAACCCAATGGAACTATAGCATCGCGCCCCCTAAGCTCGATAAGAGGACTCGCAAGTTGTCGAGGCGGCCTTTGATGTGGAAGCAGGACTGGACTCCCAGAAGCTCAGGCTCACATTGGAATGACAGAGGTACGGCGTTTTGTCCGTCACCGGGCGAGAGTCCTTGCATGGAAAGACCATACGAAGGAAAAGGGCAAAGGGCTGAACTTGGAGGATGATTCCTATAGGATACCCAAGGGACGGGGTCATGGATCAAATCTCATGTTCACATTGCGCTTTTAGAACTTCAGGCTCTCATTAAGTGCTTATGCAGGAACCTATAAGGTCATCTCAGCTTGATTTACTTGGCATTCATCCAAAGATCTATAATACTAACGAGTGGGTACCAAGAATAGCGGCTTCAGTCCTCTGTCGAAGGATGGCTTGTTCCAGCCTTCCGTCTCTAAATCAGCAACTGCCTTCGCTTTCCTCGGCCTTTTGCTCCAGAAAACCCCAACCAGACACAGTTGAAAGCGACCACCTCATTACAGAAACCTCGCATGGTAAGGTTTGCGTCATCATGAAGTTGCCCAACATCGCCGCCCCAGCGTTGATGCCGTCTCCTCACATACTTCCGTCCAGCTTCGGCCTTGAGGCCACACCTTGAACTCCTCGCCAGGGCACAAAGAGACACGTAAAAGTGTCCTCAGAATCCCTTAACCAGGATCTCAAGCGTCGTACCACCGCATCCTTACCGCCGTCCTCCGAACTACTCCCGTCCGGCCGTACCCGCGAGGAAACGGAGGCCCGTCCTGCTCCCAAGGCGCACCAAAAGGAGTATCAACTCATCACCGCTTTCACGCACCAGATACAAGCGTCGCAACACCGAGGACTTGGACAACGACCAAGGGAACTTTCATACAGCCAAGCCTCCGGTCAAGCAACAACGCGTGACGGAATGTGTCCTCTCAGCTCGTTCCAAGCGTCCTTGCCTGTGTCATCTACACCCGCTCACAATGACACCCCGGATGCGACTCAAGCTTCACAACAACCCAAATGTCCGACTCCTGATCGCGAGATTTAGGTTCCTGCCAGCCCAAGCCCCGTGATTTACTCTCTTGTCTCGTACAAGCTGGGGCCAGAGATCAGGGAAAGCTCTCCGGGCAATGCGCAGCGGATTCTGCTCAAGTAACAAGACGAAAGATTATCACTGCTTCGATCTCGGCAAATGTTTGTCCCATTACAGGCTATACGACAAATGAGTTTAGTGAGCCGGAAGAGGGATATTGCTAAGTATCTTGAATGTGATACTTGCAAAATGGGCTTGGATCAGGTCAGTTGGATCTCGATCGTTCTTTACAACTGGGGCATGACCGAAGACTGACAGTGTACAAAGCAGCTTCTTGATTGAGTATATCGACCTCAATTTCAACCTGTCTTTGAGCCGACGACATCATGAAGAAGAGCTCTACTGGACCCTACTGAGAATCAGTATTTGCAAAGCGGAAGGAGATAAACCTCCAGTCGTGATTCGAAGCTGATCTGGAGCGGAGGGGACAAGATCGTGTCAAAAAGGTGGAGGCTTAATGGAATTTTATCCACACAATTTGGGTCGTGAAGTTGCTCTGAGATGGGTGTTTGCGATTTGTGAGGAAGCACGGTGAAGATGAAATGATACTGTAACGCAGTGCTCTTGTCACACTTCATTGTGTGTACATATTTGCTTGATAGCAACTTTGCCTATGAAAGTGACAAAGCAAATGCATGCTGTGAGCACGAAATAATGTTGGAGCATGTGCAATAAGGCCAGCTGGAGCTGGGCCGGCAAGAGATGATGGTGCAAACGTCAGGGCCTAGAGTCATGTGGGCGAGAGCATCTGACAAGTTTGTAGTTATGATTCCTCGGCGGAAAAGCAAAGAGGGTGGCTACATCATGGTAAAGATACGAACGCCACAGACGCGGGACTGCGGGTTTGGGCTGTGGATAGTGTATTATGTGCAGTATTGACTGATAGCGTTTGCTCACAAACGGACGAGGCTGACCGTAACTGTGAGTGGTCCACAGCAACTCTCGGAGCTGGGGCAGGACGCCGGTTATGTGGCTGCCCGTCAAAGATCATCTCGGCGGGATGACCCTTCTCTGATAACAGCTTGTGAATGACAACAGATGATGTTACATATAAAGAGAAGCCCGGAATATTCTGGTGTTCCCGGAAGACGTATCCGAGACACCCATCCATCCAATAGCGCAGGGCTGCAAAAGAAAGGTCAACTTCAATACCTGCAATAGCGGTGTGTAAGACGGGACGACTGTGTGCCACACACCAGCCAGTTGCCTCGGCCACGTCATTTCCTTCTCCTGATTGGTGACTTAATGCTTCCTTCCTTTTTGTCCAAATTTTGAGCCATCACCAGAAAACCACAAACATCTATGAAGACAATCGCCTCGGGCAGCTATGCCGCGGTGAAGCAGCTGTGTTACCGACCTTGTGGTAACTCCCGAATCCACCATTCGAGTGTGCCAAGATTGGGGGCATTTTCAACCGTTAAGCTCAATTCAGTAGTAAGCTGGTACACTAGGTACGTTCCTACGTTGACGCACAGACCACACACCGTTCATCGTTTATTGCGACGTCAATGATATTTGTTGCCCACTTACTGCATTGAGGCCTACAAGAAAACAGCAGCTGGCATGCAGCTCTTGTCGCTGCCTGACGTTGGGCAATCACTCATTTAATTTCTACTATATATACTCTCCACTCTTTTATCCTGTTGTTGTTTCTTCACGTTGCCATCTCCTTCCTCCTTCTATCCCGGAACTCTCGTTTGAGCTTCTGTTTCTCTGCCAACCCATCAAGTGGTGTTTGGAAGGGATTGAGAAGTAGTCCGCAGCAGTATTGTTGAGGACTCACCTTCCAACACCTACCGGCGTATTGATGCCCAACATTTACAATGTCCGACGTTCAGGGTCGTGACATAGGCCGCCTGGGACGTGGCCGCGGGGGACGTGGCCGCGGTGGGTTTGAAGATAGAGGCGGCCGAGGCGGAGGTGGTTTTGGGGATAGAGGCGGCCGTGGCGGTGGAGGAGGCGGTGGTGGAGGCCGCGGTGGCTACGGTGATCAACGCGGTCGTGGTGACCCCCGCGGCGGCTTCCGAGGTGGTCGTGGCGGCTTCAATGATCAGTGGGCGCAGAGGTGGAGGTGGCTATGGTGGGGGTCGAGGAGGAGGAGGAGGAGGAGGTGGTGGTGGTGGTTATGCTGGTGGTCCAGATGTTTACACGTAAGTATCACGGCACCGTACATTGTCATGATGAATGACAGGCGCTAACATCAAATCAAGAGGAGCGAACAACGTCATCCCCCCGCCAAATCCCGACATCACAGCTCTGGAAGACCGCGTCGTCCAGCAAGAAAACTCTGCATTGGGACAGTTGAGCAAGCTTTCCGTCAGTGATGAGTCCAGCTTTTTCCCACACCGGCCTGGCTTTGGCACTGGTGGTGCTCCGGTTGTACTGTGGGCCAACTACTTTGAACTGAACGTCAACACAGCCTCGCTATTCAGTTACAATGTGCTGGTGGCCCCGGAGGAATCTAGCGAGAAGAAAGAGGCCGAACCGAGCTCTGCTAAGGGCAAGGGCAAGGGAAAGCCCAAGGAGTCCAAGACCAAAGAAGCCAAGGGTACCAAACTCGCCAAGATCATCAAGGCTGCGCTCGACACACTCCCGCCTACCGTCGTTGTTGCAACCGAGCTGAAGATGAGCGTCGTCTCCAAGGCGAAGCTTCCTCTGCCCCCCAACTCAGTTATTACTGTGGGCATCCCCAGGTCCAATGGTGGTGAGGAGCGCTGGGATGTTAAGTTCAACGACCCTGTCTCGCTAGATATTGGACGCCTCAAGCAGTACATTCAGAACTTTGAAGACAAGGGTAACGAGTCTGTCTTTCCCAAGTTCGCGGCCGAAGCTGATGCGCTGGGCGTTGTGCTCGGCCACACCGCACGAAGCAACTCCAACACCGCTGCCGTTGGCAAGAGTCGCTTTTTTGCTTTCGACGCCAATCGTTCCGAAGTCGGCCCCGTATCGCCAGGCAGTATGATCGATATCCTTCGCGGTTACGTTCAGAGTGTGCGGTTGGCCACCGGTCGTCTGCTTTTGAACGTCAACGTTACCCACGGTGTCTTCCGGCCGCCCATGCCCTTGCCTGACCTGTTTCAGAGGGTTGGTAACCTCAACACGAATACACTCAAGCGCTTGCATGGGCTCTTGGCCAAATCGAGAATCCAGTGCCGGGTTCCCACCGAGAAACCTGGTGAGTGGGTGAAGGTTGAGCGCTCTATGGCAGGATTCGGCGGGGTTAGAGATGGCAGCGGCGAGGAACGGAGGCCCGAGTTTTTGGAACCCAACGAGTACTTCGGCAAGCCTACCAACGTCAAGTTTTTTCTTCGGTCGCCCAAAAAGCCGAGACCGGCACCCAAGGGCTCAAGTATGACACCATGGTATTGGTGTCTGACTATCACATTGCCAAATACAGCGACTCCCACGGGGTGCGCAAGGTCGAGACTTTCCCACTGATCAACGCGGGCAGTCCAGCTAGGCCCATTTACCTGCTGGCTGAGTGGTGCTCCCTTTTGCCGGGACAGCCTATCAAGGCTAAGCTCAGTGCCAGCGAGGCTCAGAGCATGATACAGTTTGCATGCCGAAAGCCATCCTTGAACGCTGTGTCCGTTACCACCAATGCCAGAGCTGTTCTTGCACTGGACAACAACAAACTCCTGGAGAAGTTCGGAGTGAGTGTCGATAAGCAGCTCATCACAGTCAAGGGTCGTATGCTTCCACCCCCGGCCATGGCGTACCCCAAGAGGAATTCGGTGGAGCTGATCAAGCCCCAAGATGGCGGCTGGCTGCTCAAGGGTGTAAGGGTTTCAAAGCCTGGTAGGATGATCAAGAACTGGACGCTCTTGGAAGTACAAGGCCAGGCTGATCAGCATGTCAAGGCCACCATGGGCGAGTTTGCGGTATTCATGGCGCAGAGCATGGGCATGGCTATCAATAAGAATGCCACACCGGCAAGTGGCTATGAGGTCGCTTCTATGGGTGAGCAAGACTTGAGAGCCGCTTTTCAGGGGATGAAGCCCAAGCCCGATCTGGTGATCGTTGTGCTTGGCGACCAGGACGCCAACGTATACAACACGGTGAAGAAGCTAGGCGATGTCGAGTTCGGCATTCAGACGGTGTGCGTGGTGAGGAACAAGATAACGAACAATAAGGGATACTTTACCAACGTCGCGCTCAAGGTCAACCTCAAGTTTGGCGGCGTCAACCACAAACTGCAGAACGCTCATCCTCTGCTGAAGGGTGGCAAGACCATGGTGGTGGGTTACGATGTGACACATCCTACCAATCTTCCAACAGGTGCTGGAGAGAACGCGCCCAGTCTGGTCGGTCTTGTAGCCAGCATCGACTCGGATCTCGGACAGTGGCCTGCTATCGCTTGGCAGAACCCGGCTCGTGTGGAGCAGCTTGACGTCAAGCTGGCTGAGAACTTCAAGTCTCGGCTGCGTCTGTGGCAGAAGCACAACGGTGCCAAATTACCTGAAAATATCCTCATTTACCGCGATGGTGTAAGTGAAGGGCAGTTCAACATGGTTCTGACGTCAGAGCTGCCGCACATCCGGACGGCTTGTAGCCAGATGTATGGCAAGCAGCAACCACGCATCACCCTTATCGTGTCAGTCAAGCGCCACCAGACTCGATTCTACCCGACTGATCCCCAGCAAACGCACTTCAGGTCGAAGAGCCCCAAGGAGGGCACCGTTGTTGACCGCGGAGTGACCAATGTGCGATACTGGGACTTCTTCCTCCAAGCCCACGCCTCGCTGCAGGGCACCGCTCGTCCGGCCCATTACACGGTGTTGATCGATGAGATTTTCCGGCCTTCATATGGTGCTCAGGCGGCGAACAACCTCGAGCAAGTAACGCATGATATGTGTTACCTGTATGGTCGGGCCACGAAGGCAGTTAGTATCTGCCCCCCGGCGTCCTACGCAGACTTGGTCTGTGATCGGGCTCGGATCCATAAGCACGAGCTTTTCGATGACTCCAGCACCATTGCCTCTGGGGCACAAGACACGGTTGGAAGCAGGAAGGTGCACCCGAGCTTGGAGAATTCCATGTACTACATTTGAGCGTGCATGTTGAAGAGGGGGATGAGGCAGGGGATATCTGGGACATTTGCGTGCGACATGTCACTTCTTTTTTTTCCATCTTTTCCCTTCAGTGGGGTTTGTGGGTTGGATGTAGACCAAGCCGGTTATTCACATAGTCTTTGAAATCGCTGTCCTCTGGCTTGCTAGCATTTCTTGGCAAGGTACGAGGGTGGTGCTTTTGGTGGCTTTGCGGGTGGGCAGCGTGGTAGCGGATAGGGATGGGATGTAGTCTTATTTTATCATGAATTGACTTTATGATGGTATACTCGTCGCTTGATGGTGATGTTTGGTGGTGGTGTGATGTTGATGTCTCCAATTGCCCAACTCGATACACATTATCATTTCCCCTCTGGTCTGAAATCAGGAGTCATATAACCAGACAATTTGACCTCCGATCAAACGTAAACCCACTCTCTTGACATCAATCCCATCCCCCCCCCCCCCCTGTGCTGTCTGAGTGTGCCAAAAGGGCATCACGTGACCTTCCCCAGAAGCCGAGCTTTGACCACCACACCCCGCCAAGGAGCAGTCACTCTCTCTTGGCATTTTGCCCTGTCGCCGCTTTGCGGGCGTTTTTGGCCTTCTCTCGGACTCCACTACTACGTGTGACGAACGACCGACGACGAACCTCACCTACCTACCTACCTACCTTGCTTGCGGTGGTCAACTCTGACTCTTTTCCACCACCACCACCAATTAACACGACAACCTCGAGCGATTTACAATGTCAGCTCTTCGCACCACCCTCCTCCCCCTGACCCGCAGGGCGGCGGGATTGGCGACGACTACAAGCAAGAGGGCGTTCTCCGCGACGGCGGCAAAGAAGGGGGGCCACAGCCCCCAGTACGACCCGCCGACGGGGTGGCTTTTCGGTGTGAAGCCTGGGGAGAAGTATGTCAACGAGGGGTGGGAGAATCTGTACTTTTATGGGTTTTTGGGGAGTTTTGTTGTTTTCGGGGTTGCTTATGCTTGGAAGCCCGATACCTCGTAGGTCATCATCTATCTCTTTGAATCCTGCTATTTTTGGCACACTCTGCTGGATGGGGGGGGGGAGGGGGGAAAGGAATAGGCAAGGGAAGATCAGAGCGGAAGGGGTGGTGGGGGGGCGGAATGAGCACGAGAGGGGGTAGTGGTGGAAAAAAACTAGTGGGGGATAAACAAAGACACGAAAGATTCGCTAACGCTCACACAGCATCCAAACCTGGGCTCTCGAAGAGGCGAGGAGGAGATTAGAAGCCGAGGGCATCCTTGAGGATCCCGACAACAAGAAGAACTAGGATGTTTTTCTGATCGGTCAACTCGAAACTCCAAGCAAACAACGACTACGACTTGGCAGCAACAAGAGGGCATAGCAACAAGGGACAGCAACTTGAACCGAAAAAAAAAAGCTGGGAGATGGGCGTGGGATATATGTAAATACAGACGGGCAGACGTGAGAGAACAGGGCGATCGATAGAGGAGGATCAATTCACAGACCAACCAACCAACCAACCAACCAACCAACCAAACAAGAACTAGACGGGGGTGGGAAATTCTATTCTTTTTTCGGTGTTTTTGGAGATATGACGTAACTTGGACAGAGAGAGAGAGCCCAAGGTGTAATGATGTGTTTTGTTCGCAAGATCTATATTCACAGGATGAACGCTGTCATAGAAATTCAGTGGGTATAAACTTTTTGCTTTTACCATTCGCCTTGCTCCCCACCTATATCCTATATACCCAACCCAAAAGACACACACATCTCTCTCTCTCTGTCTCTCTCTCTCTCTTTCTCTGTCTCTCTCTCTGTCTGTCTGTCCTCAAAAACCCATTAGAAACAAAAAACTAGCAGATATAGCTCCAATCACTCTCCTCATCACCATACTGCCTCGCCTCCATCCACTCCTTCATCTTCATGGCAATCTCCCCGCTCTCCTCATTATCCTTCAACCCACAGTTGACCAGCTGTCCCTTCCAGCTGATCGCCCTGACAGGAGACACAATCGCCGCAGTTCCCGCGCCAAAAGCCTCAATCAATCTCCCTTCAGCAGACGCCTCAGCAAGCTCGCCCATGGTGTACTTTCTCTCCTCAATCTTCCACCCTTCCGGCGCCAGTCTCTCCCTCGCCAGCGCAAGAACACTATCTCTTGTCACGCCCTCGAGAATAGTACCGTCCAGCGGAGCGGTGATGAGCTCCTTCTGACCGGTCTGCTTGTTCTTGATCGCGACGAAAAAGTTCATCGTGCCGACCTCGGTGACGTACTCCTCCTCCCCAAACAACCAGAGATTCTGCTGAAAGCCCCGGGACATGGCCTCCTTCTGCGGCACGATGCAAGGCGCGTAGTTGGCGCCGAGCTTCTTGTCGCCTACACCTCCTGGCCAGGCGCGGACGGCGTAATCGGTTGCTTCGAGACTGACGGCCTTGAAGCCGGTTGGGTAATAAGGGCCAACGGGGGAGGCGATGACGTAGAGCAAGGCGGAGCCAGGGGGGCCGACGCCGAGGGTTTTTTGGGTGCCGATCATGGTTGGTCTGAGGTAGAGGGAGTAGCCGCGTTCCGAGGGGATGAACCTTGATTCGAGCTTGGCAAACTGGGCGATGAGGGAGGTGAGGGCTTCGGGGGAAAAGGTTGGGAGGGCGATGCGGGCGGCGGATTTGTTGAAGCGGGCCATGTTTTTGTCTGGGCGGAAGAGGCGGATTTGGCCTTTGGTGTCTTTGTAGGCTTTCATGCCTTCGAAGCATTCGAAGGCGTAGTGGAAGACGCAGGTGGCGGGGTCGAGGGAGAGGTTTTGGTAGGGGAGGATTTTGGGGGCGGACCAGCCGGATTCTTGGGTCCATTCTATGGTGAGCATGTGGTCTAGGGGGCAGGTTAGCTGGGGGGGACTGGGGATAAGATGAGGAGGAAAGGGGAGGGAGACGGACCGGTGAAGTTGCGGCCAAAGACGAGGTCTTTGGAGGGGAGGAGGTCCTTGGGCTTGGAGGTCTTCTCAACGACGAGCTTGGAGGGGTCGATGTCGAGGAGCTGGGAGGTGGAGGACTGGGGGGTGATGCTATATTGACGACGCTGGACAGCAGACTGGGCTTGGATAGCAGCACCCAGGCTTGCGGAGCGCTGGGCGTTGAAGGCTGCCCTGGGAGCGCATCTTGGGAGAAGACGGCGCATCATTTTGGAGGTTGTATTTGTGTGCCGGTGTACTAAAAAGATGAAATCTGATAATGACTGAGGAAACAACGAAAAGCAGCAATTGGCTTTTGTAAGCCACGGCAACGGGCACAGACGGACTCCTGGACGCGAAGGCGCACAATGGCGAATGGCAAACCCCAGGTTTTAAACAGAGAGCAAGGCGCAAAGACTCATACAACGGGGGCACCACGCTGGCGAGTAATTGCAGCTGGAGCCCTGGATGCTCTCTCTTCTCGGAGTTGGATCGGAGGTTGCATGGTCGCTGGACAGCAGTTGACCAATCAGGGCGCCCCTGTTGAGCCAGCTCTGGACCCTGGCCGTTGATCAAGGAGCGGCTTGCAACGGCATCGCGGGTGGACCCGGCAGATAACGAGTTCGTCGAGATCTGTGCGGGTATGCTGTGGGGGCAGGTATCTCTTAACAATTTGCTGCTGCATGTCTGGCATCGACGTGGGAAGCTAGACCAGCCCGAGAGACTGGACCAATGCTGCAGAGATACTGACAATTTGACAGCATCATTCAGTTATGGTTCGAGTTGAAGATGCCATCTTATGATCTTCTCAAGTCCAATGGCAAACAACCTTTGAGCCACGTCCGTTGCGGTTGTAAGGCTTGGCATAATTAGATATCAAAATCTTATCTAATCAGCCAGCCTTATTCAAGCTGCGTCAGTGCTTGGCCAGCGCCCAGACATGCCGAAGCTGACAGCTTGTTGCGCCCACCCAACACATCCATGATCGACAGTTACGCCTTGCGCGCATCTCCTCAGCCCTTGAATTGCAAAAGATAGGTGTCTGTTTGACAATAGTACGCCTTAAATTGAGCATATTACACCTCCCACGTCCACCGAATAGCCCCGCGATGACAGCTAGAGCCGTGCAACCATGTTCGCCAACGCCTTGAAATCGATAGGCGCCTCCAGCAATATCAACACCAACTATTCGATTTCCTCCACTTTGACAGCCACCGCTGGGCCATGGAAGATCTATTCGGCGAAACGAAAGGCCACGGGCAAAGAATATTCCGTCTTTGTATTCGATAAAAAGACCCTCGATGCAGGAAACAATGGTTTGGGAGGGAGACAGTCGGCTTCGTCGCAAAAGAGAGTGGTGGAGGAGGTGGTGGAAAGGCTGAAGAAGGAGGCATCATCTCTGGCGAGGCTACGACATCCGGGAGTGCTAGAATTGGTCGAACCGGTCGAAGAAACGAGGGGAGGAGGACTGCAATTTGTCGCCGAGCCTGTGACGGCCTCGCTCTCGGGTCTTTTGCAAGAAAAGGATGACCAGGAACGGGGCGGAGGGTTTGGAGGCAGGTCGAGCCGATATGTTACCGAGGACGCGAACGGCACACGGCGACGGCGAGAGCTCGAGATTGACGAACTAGAAATCCAAAAGGGTCTGCTGCAAGTCAGTAAGGCACTGGAGTTCTTGCACGACAACGCCGGGCTAGTACATGGAAATCTGACGCCGGATGCCATTTTAGTCAATGCAAAATCGGATTGGAAGCTGAGCGGCCTGGCGTTCTGCAGCCCCCCAGAGCCATCAACGATCCCCACGACTATTCAACCGATCATCCTGGGCGAGGTCTTGAATCCAGATCCTAGAATACCAAGGACTGTACAGCTGAATCTGGATTACGCATCGCCAGATTTCGTCCTGGATAACAACCTGACGACCTTTGCCGATATGTTTTCTCTGGGCCTGCTCTGTATCGCCTTGTACAACTCCCCACACCGGTCGCCAATCGAGTGCAATACCAGTATCTCAGCTTATAAGCGGGTGTTCCAATCGTCACAAAGCGTCCCAACCGCTACCAACAACTACCTGTCCTCCCGGCCATTACCCAAGGAACTCGGCCAACATGTGCTACCCAGACTGCTTACACGCCGGCCGGCCCAACGCATGACAGCGAAGGAGTTCCAAGAGAGCGAATACTTCAACAACGTCCTCATCTCTACCATCCGCTTCCTCGAGGGCTTCCCCGCCAAGACGCCCAATGAGAAGCAGCAATTCCTGAGAGGGCTGATCAAAGTCCTTCCGAACTTTCCAAAGTCTGTCATGGAAAAGAAGCTTTTACCGGCCCTCCTGGAGGAGCTGAAGGATAAGGAGCTGATATCGTTGATCCTCCACAACGCCTTCAAGATTATCGGTCTTCTTCCAGCGGGGAGGAGGGCTTTCAACGAAAAAGTCAGACCCAAATTGAAGGAAATCTTTGTTACCAACGCCAAACAACCTCAGGAAAAGGATGCCAATCGTGATGCCGGTTTGATGATTGTCATCGAGCAGCTGTCTGTTATAGCTAGCAACTGCAATGGGAAGGAGTTCAAGGATGGTAAGTACCTCTTATTTTATCATTTTAAGGCCCTATTTGGCACCCCAAACGCCTCATCACTCTCTTTATGTGCCTTGCCATTATCTGTGAAGGCCTTCCAACATGGCTGAGACGCATAACTATCATCATTTGATGTCTTATCCCTATTTTAAAGGCCTTGGTGATTGTTATTCCTCTTTTGAGATATTTGAGATATACGACCAATTGCTTTGGACGCTTCGTTACCATCCTCATACCCCTTGATTGGAGAGTTAAAGGCCTTTTTCTTTCTCTCAAACTCCTTATTACTATCTTTCTACCTCTTGTTACCATCTTTTTACCCCTGATTCGGATAGTGATAGGCCTTGTGTTTTCATTTAGTCGCCTTATCACTATCTTTTACACCTTCTCACTGTCTTCAGATGCCTCGTAACTATCTTCTGACCTCCTATATGTGCTAACTTATGTCTTTTTTAGATATCCTACCCATATTTTACACGGCCCTCGAATCACCCACCCCGTCCCTGATTAACGCCGCCCTGACCAGTTTACCAGTGGTCCTGCCTGTGTTGGACTTCAGCACCATCAAGGGAGAGCTTTTTCCAGTCATTGCTACAATTTTCAGTAAAACCAACAGTCTGGCCATCAAGGTCCGTGGTTTGGAAGCCTTTGTCACACTTTGTGGAGGTGCCGGCAGCGGTGACGATGGCTTGGACGGGCTCGCTACAGAACAGAAGAAGGCCACATCCTCCACGGCCCTCGACAAGTTCACCATGCAAGAAAAAATCATTCCTCTAATCAAGGCCATTAAAACCAGGGAACCAGCCGTCATGATGGCTGCCCTGAACGTTCTGAAGGTCGTCGGCAGGGTGGCTGATGGGGATTTTGTGGCACTGGAAATGCTTCCACTGCTTTGGAGCATGTCGTTGAACCCTCAGTTGAACCTGCGGGAATTCCAGGCCTTCATGGAGCTTATCAAATCACTATCAAGCAGAGTGGAGGACGAACAGACAAAGAAACTACAAGAGCTCACCGGCGGCGCTGTCACATCGCCCGGCCTCAAGGACGATTTTCTGTCGTTTGGGGCGATCGCGGGCTCTTCTCTCGAGGCGAACGGGACATCGGAGACGGATTTTGAGGCGCTGGTCAAAGGCAGGGCAAGTACGACCAACACCAACCCACTGGACAGCTGGGACACGAAGCCATCAGCGGCGTCTTCCTCCTCCAGTGTGAGAAATTCCACACCCACGCCCACGTTTTCTTGGTCTACACCACCGGTATCCTCACCGGTAGCCACTTCACACCTCAAAGCCCAGACCGGAGGCTTCAGAACGGTAACCCCAGACCTAGCGGCCATCCAGCCCATGGCCCCAACAATCACCCAGTTCTCACAGCCCTTGCAACCACAATCGAACACAACATTGTCGCAGCCGCAGCCGCAGCCGGCGTCATTCAACTGGTCCAGTGCCAGCAGCGCAACCACGCCCAGTAATATCTGGGCGACCCCCTCCGCCAGTGCCCAACCCGCTTCCAATGTATGGGCATCATCTACAACCCAGCCCAGTCCGAATGCCTGGGCCTCTCAACCATCCACATCGGCCTTTAGTTCTCTAAGCTTGAATCAGCAGCAGCAACAGCGTCCGCAGCCGACAACATCCTCTTCTTTCGCCCTGCCTCCGCCACCTGGCGCGCCTAGCGCTAGCTCGGGAAATTCGGGCTTCAGTCTGCCCCGGCCACCAGGAACATCCTTCACGACTTCAGGACTGGGCGGAACGAGCAATATGAATAGTCTGGCATCACTTGGGGCTGCCAACAGGACCGGCACAGGCATGGGAATGAGCATGAACAGCATGATGGGAGGCATGAGCCAGCAGCAGAAACCGCCTCAACAGCAGCCAAAGGGGGGTTTGGATAAGTATGAAAGCCTATTGTAGTTGTCTTTCCAGGGGTGTAGTCATTATATATATACCCGTAGCGAATCATTGAACCTTGTCTGTCGGGGTTCCCTGAAAGCATTTATTAACCTCGAAAGGCGTTGATCTTCTAATAACTAACAGACATGTTGGCCTGGCTAAACGTCATCAGCTGGCGTCTTGTTAGAGATTTGCGTGGTGTGAGTGACATCAACAAAGTATGGGCCCCCTGTGTCGCTTGGCTCGTGCGTTACTCTGTGAAGCTCTCCTTGCCGGTGATCCTTTTTCCCCTTTCTTGTCTCACACTGCCTTTTAAATTTTTGAGTGATTTCGAAGAGCTGCAACCCAGCTATAGCTACCGGTTCTGGTGGACCTTTTAAGAGCCCGAAACACTCACTTCCGGTGCCTGCCGTTTCTTGTCGCCTCCGCAACCCACGTACATCCGGGGCAGCGGCGCTGCTGCAACGTTTTGTTCAAGTTTGCTTGTGCATAAGAATAAGGTAGATCGACTCTTTTTTGCTCGCTCTCTCTCGCGCACGCCCGGTCAGGCCACCCTCGAAATCCGGCATTGCCGTCAACAACCCACTCTCTTCCCGAAACTCGAGCTTTTTCTTCTGACACAATCCGGAACCGGCTGCCCGACCGACAACCTTGTGCGTGTGCGCGACTTTGCAAATTGGGACCCTCGCATACTTGTCAAATCGATTGCCACGCAACTCACTTCACTTCACTTTGAACAACCATCCATCTTGGGGTCTTTTTGCCAAGACCCACCTTGGAACTCCCTAGCTTCCTCCTCGACTTTCTTGTCTCTCACTTCCTCCTGCTCTCTCTCTCTCTCTCTCTCTCTTTCTCTTTCTCTTTCTCTCTCGCTCTCTCTTTCTCTCTCTCTCTCTCTCTCTTTCTCTCTCTCACTCTCGTCAACTCTGGCAAATCTCACTCTGTAACAACAACATCAGCCGCGTTTGGGACGCACTTCAACAACAACAACAAATCACCTGTCTTTTTTGCCGACCCCCGTCTTTTTTCTTTGAACACCTTACAACTTTTTGCGACTTATCGTCGCCACGGTTGACTGGCTGCATATGTTGTTGTCATTATTTGTCTTTTAACTCGCATTTTCCGCTTTTGCCTTTTCTCACTTAGCTTCCACTCACTTTCCGACTTTTTTTTCTGTTCTTTGCCATCAGAACAACCCACCCGTCAGCGACTTTTATCGCGCCCAGAATGGAGGCCACAAGTCGCACCGCCCTCCCTGATGGCGGCGGTCAGAAAAAGAAGGTCAAGGGTCGCAGCAAGTCGCCCAAGTCGCCCACCACCACTTCCAACGGCGCATCATCTGAAATCGCCAGAAAGTCGAGCACTCGTGTCAGGAATGTTGTCGACTACGACGAAAAGAGGGCTTTTGTCGGCTTGGACAGCGATCCTGTTGTCCCCCCTCCTCCTCCCCGCCGGCAGTCGCCCCCCTCTGCTCACCAGAATGGCAGCAACGGCAGCGCTGCTGTCAAGAAGACTGCTCACAACTCTGGCAACGGCAGTGGCCTCACTGAGCTCGAGGAGCGCGTCCAGGATTTGGGCGACTCGTGGGAGACGGAGTCTCTGCTGAACGACATTCTTGGCGATGTTCACGAGGATAGGTTCTTCACCGATGGTTTGTCAACCCCTGCCTACTACCCCGGCTGCTTCGCTCCAGGAAATACTATCTTCTCCCGAGGCCCTCCTCTCCCAGGCCCGGGGAGGATGAAGATGATGAGGAAAACTCTACCGATGATGACGATCAAGATGCTAACTCCCCTCCAGACGCCGATGCCTGCACCCCAGAAGAGGCAATCCAATACCGCCAAATGCTCCGCGCTTTGGGTCCTGAGATCTTTGTCCAGCGCACCGTCGACGCCGGCCGCATCACAGCCAAGAAGCTTCTCACAGCTTTTGGCGTCCGCCCACCGGACTTTTTGGAAGGCCAAGACGACGACGCCTACTTTTCTCTCCTGAGCTATGCGTTCACGAGGGAGCTCAAAAAGCGCGCCAAACTGACACGGTACAACACGGTCGACGACGCCGTCGCCCTCCTCAAAGAAAAGAAGAACATCATCGTCCTCACGGGCGCGGGCATCTCCACCTCGCTCGGCATCCCCGACTTCCGCTCGGCCGGCACGGGCCTCTACAGCAAACTCGCCCATTTGGGACTGAACGATCCGCAGGAGGTGTTTGACCTGTCGGTCTTTAGGCAAGACCCGACGATTTTTTACTCGGTGGCGAAGGATATCTTGCCGAGCGAGGACCGGTACACGCCGACGCATCAGTTTATCAGGATGCTTCAGGAGCGGGGGAAGCTGTTGACGAATTACACGCAGAACATTGACAACTTGGAGTCCAAGGCAGGGATTTTGCCCGAGAAGCTGGTTCAGTGTCATGGGAGTTTTGCCACGGCGAGTTGTGTCAAGTGTGGGGAGAAGGTTGTGGGCGACAGTATTTTTGCGGAGATCAAGGCGGGGAAGATTCCTCGGTGCAGGAAGTGTCCTTCTGGGCAGTCTCGATCTCAGTCGCGAAAGAGAAAGACAGCCAACTCTTCCAACTCGAAACGTCGCCGGGATTTCGACCGGGACAGCAATTCCGACTCGGAATTTGATCTTGTCTCTTCATCAGCGGGGGTGATGAAGCCGGATATTATTTTTTTCGGGGAGCCGCTCCCGGATGAGTTTAGTCAGAGGCTGACGCAGCACGATGTCGACAGGGTGGACTTGGTGATTGTCATCGGGACGAGCTTGAAGGTTGCGCCGGTGAGCGAGGTGGTGCCGTACCTGCCGAGCCACATACCGCAGATTTACATCAGTCGGGAGGCGATTGGGCACAATAATTTTGACATTGACTTGTTGGGGGATTGTGATGTTGTTGTGGCGGAGCTGTGCAGGAGGGCGGGGTGGGAGTTGGGGCATGAGATGGTGCCGGAGGGGCAGGTGGTTGAGGTTAAGGCTGTGGAGGGGTGGGGGAGCAGGTGGGTTTTTAAAGAGGTGAAGGACGGGGATAAGGAGGATGGGGTGAAGGATGGGGTGAAGGATGGGGTGAAGGATGAGATGAAGGAGAAGAATGGGGAGAGTGGGAAGGGGAAGAGGGGGAAGAATGGCGGCGGGGGAAAGAAGTAAATTGGGGTGGGTGGGAGTTGAGATAGGGTATGGCAGGTTTATTATGGCCCGGTAGAAGAAATGCATGGGTGGAGTTGGTGAATGGACGGTTGGGACTGTCTGTCTGGATGGTTGGGTTGGGTTGGTAAGGCAAACATGCTACGAATTGACTGGGAGGAAGGAAGCTTGACAACATTTTGGGCGAAGGTGTCTTTTTTCTTCTTTTCCAGACAAAAAAGCAGAGAGGGGACAGACATGATACCCGGGTTTTTTTTTCATTTACTACATCTTTTAGTCTTAGCTTTTTGCTGTTTTTTTTTTCGGTTTTTTTTTTCGGTTTTTTTAAGTATTATACAGATTTTGGTTTTTTTTTTTTTGGTTTTTTTTTTCGGTTTACCTCTCTCTCTTCTCCTGCTTTCATTCCGGGAAGAGGTATTTTAGATAATGTTGGACTACCCATTTTCTGTAAATCCTTTAAACTTTGCGTGATGGTTCGTGGTGAACAAACTAGCGGGAACATAATGACCGATTTCAGTCAAAATACTCAAACACCAAGGCGCACAGTAAATAGCACAAGTCCACACACATAACATCTTTTGTATTCTTCTTATTCCCCCATCCACCAACCACACTCCCAACTTTTTCGGCGCAGATATACATATATATATATATATATATATAACACCCGTGCGCGCGCGCTATGATGATGATACTGTAATCTAAGATTGGTAACGAACGACAGCGGAAAAGATAAAAAAACGCCCAAATTTCATCTATCACTTTCTTCGCTCAAACGCCCCCATGATTAAGAAAAAAGAGAGATACATGACAGCAATACCACCACCACAACCAAACCAAAAACGCCTTAAAAAGAAAAACAGACATGTTGACTCAAAAGAGGAAATATTAACGATAGAAAAAAGAAATGAAAACGCCCTACAGCAGCAGGGCTGACACTGTGATATTGTTATACACACTTCCACAGGCATTAATAATACATTTTATCTGTTTTCCTCTCTACCTACTCAAGGAGTAGGGGTAGAAGGCGACTTTGGCTTGGGCACATTAATAATCGGAACATCCTGGGCACTGGATGAAGACGACCCCTCAACCTCCCTCCTCTCATCCGTCGACACCCTTCCCGCCTGATCATCCTCGCCAATCTCCTGACCAAGAGGCGACGGCTTGGGCGGGAACTGGCCAAAATCCGGCTCGCCCCTCTTCTCAATCGGTGACCAGCCCGCCGCAATAGAACCAGCAACAATACCAGTCATGACCGTCGCCGCGCCCAACACGCTGTTGGAGCGGGAGCGGTTGCTTCTGCTGCGGCGGCGGGACTCAGGAGTAGGAGCGGTAGACCCATGGCTGTCCTCGCGGACAGGGGTCTGGGGGAGGCGGTGGATCGAGTTGGATCGGGAGTGCTCCCTGCTCGGGACGGGGCTGCGGTTGAGGAAGGTTTCGCGGGGGTGCTTCATGGCGAATTTGAGGTTGTTGAGACGGCCGCCCTTGACGCGCTTGAGCCAGGCGAGCTCCTCGTGAATGTCGGCGAGGGGCGCGGGGTAGGCGGTGAAGCGTTCTTCGTCGTCGGAGACGTTGATGCCGGGAACCTTGGAGCTGTGCTTGCGCTTGAGAACGCCGGGGACCAAGGCGACAATGATCTCGTCGGGGATGAGGCGGATGATGACGCCAACGGGGATGGAAAGGAGACCAAGAACGATGGCAGTCGCCCACATGGTCGGTGATTGGCCCTCATCGGCAATGCGGAAAGCTGTACCGCCAACCATGACAATGAGGACTTGACCGCCGCACATGACGGCGCTGATGCCAATGAACAGCCAGTTCTTGGTGAGACCCTCAAAGATGTTAAACTGGTTGTCAAGACGCCGGTTGCTAGTTGCTGTTAGTAAACGATCCGCCAATGGGCAATTTGTGGAAGGGCACGACTTACTTCCACTGGTTGAAGATCTGCATCCACACAAAAGTGTTGAAGACCAAGGTGTTGATCTGGCTGTCGGGAATGATCTCTGGTCCAGGGTACACGGAAGACTTTCCGAAATAGAGCAGGAAGCAGATGAGAAGCTGGAACACGGCCTGTCCGAGGATCATCTTCCACATAGTAGGTGAGATGATCGAGGAACCCTTGCGCTCGGGCTTGCGGTTCAGCACACTGTCCTGAGGGGGGTCGGTAGCCAGAGCCAAGGCAGCAAGAGTGTCCATGATGAGGTTGACCCAGAGAAGCTGAACGGCGGTGAGCACAGCGGTAGCCTTTTCCTCGGGATGCGACTGGGTAACGGCAGAGTAGATGGCGGAGACAAAGGTCAAAACAACAGCCGTGACGTTGACGGTGAGCTGGAACTGGAGGAAACGCTTGACGGCATCGTTGACGGCACGACCCCATTTTAAAGCCTTGACGATCGAGTTGAAGTTGTCGTCCATGAGGATAATAGCGGAAGCCTCCTTGGCCACCTCGGTGCCAGCGATGCCCATCGAAAAGCCAATATCAGCCGTCTTGAGCGCCGGGGCATCGTTGGTGCCGTCACCGGTCACGGCAACGGTTTCGCCCTTGTCCTTCAACCGCTTAACCAAGATGCGCTTGTCTTCGGGGCTGGACCGTGCGAGAACGTGGAGGCGGGGAATGATCTCATCTTGCTGAGCCTTGGTCATGTTGCGGAACTCGGGGCCTTCGAGAACCACGCTGTTGGGCTGGAGAATGCCGCAATCCCGGGCAATAGCCTCGGCAGTCAACCTGTTATCACCAGTAACCATGCGCACAACGACACCGGCCCGCTGGCAGTCTCTGACAGCCTCGGGCACACCAGGGCGAAGAGGATCCTTGATGCCAACCATACCGACAAAGACCATGTTGCGGCAGATATCCTCAAAGACAATCTCATCCTTCTCGGCATCGACGCGGCGGGCTGGCTTGGGGGGCCACTTGTCAAAGTCGCGGTAGATCAGGCCGATGGTACGGAGCGAGTTGCGGGCGTAAGTCTCAATCAGATGCTTGATGGTCTCGCGGTTTTCCTCGTGGAGAGTAGCCGAGGCCAAGCCCTGAGAAGGATCGCGGAGGATCTGGGTGCACTTCTCCAACATGATTTCGGACGCACCCTTGACATAAAGACGAGCCTTGCCATTCTCCAGCTGAACCACGACACCCATGCACTTGCGTCCAGAGTCGAAGGGAATGAGGTGAAGGGTCTTGCTGCCGGAGCGCAGTTCAGCAACGGGGCCCATGGCAAGGTGCTCGCGAGCCAGAATAAGCATGGCGGTCTCCGTCTTGGAGCCGATGAAGGTGTGCTCGCCATCGACATCCCCCTCGAAGGCAGTCGAGTTGAGCGCGATAGACTTGAGCAGCAGATCCTTAGCCTCGGGGCTGAGCATCTTCACCACTTCCTGGGCCTCCACATCCTTCTCGCTCCGAGGGCTCTCGCCCGGGATGGTGGAAGTACCAAAGCGGTGGCTTGTGCCGATGGTGCCAGCAACAACTTGCATCTTGTTCTGAGTCAAAGTACCCGTCTTGTCAGAGCAGATGGTGGTGGCATTGCCCATGACTTCGCAAGCCTTGAGGTGGCGGACCAGGTTGTTGTCCTTGAGCATGCGAGTCGTGGCAAAAGCGAGGGCCAAAGTGACAGCCAACGGAAGGCCTTCAGGAATAGCGACGACCACGATTGTGACGACCATGATGAAGATATCGATAAACTGCTGGCCCTTTTGCGCGGGGGTGAGCGGAGCGAATTGGCGGGGAAGCTTGACCAGGAAGATGATGAACAGAATCAGGAAGAGGAGGAGGGCGATGGCACCGCCGAGCTTGGCGATGGACTCGGCAATGACATTGAGCTTCGACTGCAAGGGGGTGATCTCGGGGTCTTCGTTGAGCGACATGAGCGTCTTGCCATAGCTGGAGTAGACACCGGTCGAGGTAACCATGAATGTACCGACACCCTCCATGACGCGGGCGCCCGACTGGATAAAGGGGTCCATCTTCTTCAAGTTCTCGCCATTCTCGATTGCCGCAAAGACCTCGTCGGAGGCACGCTTCTTGATAATGTCGGATTCACCAGTGGCCTGAGACTCGTCGCACTTGACGTTGAAACCCTCAATGAGAACACCATCAACGGGGATCAAATCGCCGGGCTCCAAGTGCATGACATCGCCAACCAGAACGTCAAAAACCGAGATTTCCACAGTCTTTCCGGATCGAACAACGCGAACCACACGATCCTGCTTCTTCTTGTTCAGCTTGGCGAATTGGCGTTCCTTCTGGAAGTCGTTCAAAGATCCAACAATAACCACGATGGTGATGGCGGCAATAATGGCAACACCCTCGATCCATTCTACACCGGGGTTTGTGGCGTCGTGCTCCTGACCGAATGTTTGATATAAGCCAATGGCCAGAGAAATGACGGCGGCAACGGACAGCAGGATCAGGACCTTGTCGTTATACGTGATCCACATGAGCTGGAGAAGATTCTTGCCCTTCTTGGCAGGAAGCCGGTTGTCGCTGAAGACGCGCTTTCTCGAGGAGAAGGCCCCCGAGTCCTGCCTGCCGGAAGCCGTCGCATGGCTATCAGTCTGGGCAAGCTTGGTGTCGGCCGAGCCGACGTGAGCGGTAGCCTCCTCAAACGTGACGCGCCCAGGAAGAGTAGCCTCGTCGGCGCCAAGACCAGTCGACCGGTTGGATCGCAATCCCTTCTCGATACCGGCGAGGCCACCCAGCTTGTAGAAGGCAGACAAGCTCTTGGGGTCGAACATCTTGTTCAGTTGGCCAGGGGCAAAGGCGAAAGGGTTGTCGTTGACCTGGAAATCGGCCTCCTTGCCCTGGTCGGGCTTCAAAGCATCCGGATCGTTCTTGATGCTGTCGTTGTCGGCAGCACCTCGGCTGGCCTTCTCCCCCAACGTAGAACCCCCTGCTACCGTGGTGTCGCCAATGGACGAGGTGATGGAGCGGTCATCATCAGAGTTGACAGAGTCCTGGCGAGGTCTTGGGGCGCCAGGGACGGTGAGCAGTCCCGGATTTGGACCGCGGAAGGAAGCAAAGGGGTTTGACACATTGTGAGGACTTGTCGGCCTGCTCTCTCCAGAGAGACTCCTCTTGTGAGAATTTGTTGATGGTTCTGGCGTGGTGCCGGGTGATATTGGTGAGTTGGCGTCCACCTCTGGCTCGTTCGTGACAGGACTCGGGCTCACGGCCGTCGTGTCGATATTAATTGTTGGTCTGTATGACATTGTTAGGTGGGTGGTTGTGAGAGAGCAGTTGCGGCTCCCACGACGTTGTGAGCAGACAGGAAGGGGAATACATACGCTCTTCGGCGTCCGGAGGCGAAGTCTCCCTCCTTGGGACCATCCTGTGGTTCCGCCATGTCCAGCTGATGGTGCGGGTCACAGTCGTCAGCGAGGGCGACGGATGTGAGCTGCGCCTACGGTGACACGAGGTCTAGAAAGCCTCTCCTAGTGGCGATGGGAGACGCGAAGGGGTGGTGTTGCGCAGATGTACGGTTGAGGTCGTCAGCTCTGAGCTCTCTGCCTTGTGTGTACTGCCACACTTGGGTCGGCAAACACAAACAGGTCTCAGGAACGGAGACTCATGGAGTGTGAGGTGAGTTGAGGTCGCCGGGTCTCGATCTGCGGGGTGCTATCTGCAGGCCTCCCTTGGGGAAAAGGTAAAAGAATTAAGAATTGGAATTGGGTTGATGAGGCAGAGTCGGTGAGGCAATCGGGGAGGTCCCCTGGGGTCCAGAGCGGCAGTTGGACGGTTGTTATGGAGTTTTTTGAGGGTGAGGCAGTGCAAGCAACGCTATAACATTTGTTTCGAGGTCCAAGATGTCTGGCGCGTGCAGTTACCAAGGTCGTACTCCAACAAAAGAGCAAAGGAGCGTGATGAATGGAAAATGGGACGAAACAAAGCAGGAAGCAGCAGGGAAAGTGAAGCCGCGCAGAACCACTGACGACACAGCGGCTACGAAATTGGACCTGACCTGACCTGGAGACGGAATGGCCTGGGATGAGATGGGAGCTGTGTTTTCCCCTGTTGTTGGGACCCAAAAGGTGCCAAGAGAGGCTGTGCAGCGCCAGACGAATCAGAGACAGCGTGGATTTGCCATGTCACTTTAGCACCTGCGTACAATTTTCCCCATTCCCTACAGTGTGGGGTGAAAACAGAATGCCAAGCACGACAAGCTCAATGGGCCATTTCACCACGGCGACTCATTCCAATGCGTTGCGGCAGAAGGGCATGCTGCTACTCTCCCTGGGAGATCACCTTGTTCGGAGGGATCATGTTGGTGGGAGGTTACCTGCCTCTGTCTGTGTCACCACCACTACCGGGCAGTGCTTGACCCTCGGGGAGTACCACAGTATGTACCTACCACGACAGCAGGGCGAGCACTTCCCAACTCCTGTGCTCCTGAGCCCAGGGAGGGTGATATCCAAAACCCCAGTCACTAAGTTAAAAAGTAAAACTGTGCCGCCGTTATGCATCAGCCGCTCTGAGATGCCACCCTTTGGACGGTTGCCCCGTGCGCAAATCTGCCGAGACCGCCGTTTCGCACAGTGCTTTCCATCAATTATACAAAAAGAAGCTCCGTTCCACCTGCCACCACCCATGCATGGGGTACCAGCATCGAAATCGACTTGGAATTTGGACGGTTGTCACCTTCTACACTAGCCACGACCAGGTTCATCAGATTGCATCATGAGAGGAGTCCCGTCTCGCGAATCTCAACATCTCCAACAAAACGGTGTGTTGTCAGTTACGTTCCCTGACGTGTAATTTGGCTGGTGGACCTGATGCTAGCGTGCCCGCTGCATCGTCCTTGAACATTTCCCGTTTGCATCGGTGGTGCAACATCACAGCTTGATCATAGCTCGATCATAGCAACAAGAGTTGAAACATAATTTGAATAATAACTACTACTATTTCCTAACAACCAAGCACTCCTGTCACGCCCTCAGCCATGCTGTCGGTTCTACCTTCCAGAGACACAGCCAGCAGAAACAAGCTCCCAAGTCTGGTACCAACCCCACAGTCCGGGGGTGATCGTCACAGAAACATGCACACATGCATGCGCTCGGTCCAAGCAACACTCGACCAGCACAACCGCCGGCTTTTTCTGCAGAACCATCGATGCCCGTCTCACCATGTTCCGAATTGTTACATCTTGCACAGACGGGGCATCCGATCTTCTTGGCTGAGTGAGGGGTTCGTCTGAACTTGAACATGCAGAAATCGGCTCGACTTGCTCTCGAGGAGGGCATGAAACAAGACTTCCCCTTTCTCACTACCGATTGGCCAGCACCTGACGCCTCGACAAACATCCTACTCCCCATCAACTGACAGCTGATCATAGACAGGAGCTTTCCCATGACAGACTACACCTTTGGCTTTGACAGCAAACAGCAAAGCCAACCATCATATGGGTGCCCTTCATCATGCACAGTGACGGCCGCTTGGCCTCGTGGGCCCAACCCGACAGCCCACCCCCCCCAATTTGTCTGCGCTGCCAGCAAATGTAGGTGGCCCGATATTGCCAGGCCTATCAATATGTGTGTCGTCGGCATTTCCAAACTTTAGATGTCGATATCTGGCTATCAACTATCGCCCAATAGCATCACTTTTCCAAAGCCTGAGAATGAAACGCGGGGCACAACGCAAGGCTTCAAAGCAAGATGACGGCACGGCTTCTCGATCACCATTGACAGCCTCATACCGTCAACATCCAACACCTCCCTCCCAGACCGAGACGGGTTGGATATTCGATTGGAACTCTAGCGCCAGGCTCGGTCCCATCCAGACCATCGAGTTTACCGGCTCTCGACCGTTCCGAGGTGGGCGAAACGGTAATCCCAAGCGGCTTTGATGGCTGAGCCGTCTCAAATTCCAAACCGTCCAGATACTCCATAGGCAAGGCAGCTATGGGGCGGCACTGCGGAGCATCTTCAAGATATCTTACAATAATGCGCGTGCTCGAAATCCAAGCCTCATCCCAGGTCCGCCTTGCTGGTGAAGGCACCGGGCATCCCCAATTGACTATAAAGGAGCATCCCGCCCGTTGGCACTGACAAAGAAGTTTTGAACCACCCAAGGCATCATCAAGGCACTTCCTCAGGCAGGCGGGGCTGGGAAACCGGGAAAAGCTTGAATGACTGAGGCATATCTGCCGAGACAGTCTCCAAGGCATATGATGCAACTCTGCTGAACAATAGTTTTTGGCCATCCAGGCACGTGTGGTCTAGAACAAGCTTGACCCATGCTCCTTCTAGAAGGTTGCAGGCACGCATTTATTCTTTGATTCCGACAACTACATCGAAGACGAGCTGCCTCAACAGGCAAGTCGCCGCCTGAGGCTTAGACGATCGAGATGTTCCAACAACAGCGATAAGCTCAATGTCCGGAACGTACCGACCATTTTTATTACATGTGTATTCTCGGGGAATCTCCCGGTCAAACGGAGAGCGCAGCGTTTGCGATGCAAGGTTTATCACTTTACCAGTGGACGTCAGTCTCTCCCAAGGCGAGGCATACAAATCCACACGAGCTTCCTGATTGGCACAGCCATCCGATGGGATAGACATCGGCAGTCAGTCAGGCGATCACCACTGCAGGTGTAAGGAGACCCTCACGCATGTATACATATCAAATATCGGACTTTAACTTTCTCACCATCGTCTTCTAAAGCTATCATATACACTCACTCGCCGCCCGGCGCGATAGAGAAAACGGGGGGTCTCCATTTCACCAGCCCTCTCGGACTTTGCAACTTCAAAATTCCCTCAGCGGGAACGGCGAATTTTCTCTCTCTGAGTTTTGGCCAGAAGAGGCAAAAGACAAACGCCGTGCTCGCAACCGAAGGGGGCTGTGCAAATGCAGACAAGAGTTTCGAGCTCCGCTCACCACCAAACAACTTGAAAGGGAATTTCTTGGCACACGAATGCCAACAGCCGCTGGAATGGAACTGTGAAAGCATGGCATGATGGGTGGAAATCTGGAGAGATTGATGGCGGCATGTCTGATGATGATGAGATGTGGAAAAGATGGATGGGGTGTTGTTCGTCGTGATGTTGGCTTACAGCGAAGATGGTGGTGTTCGTACTCGGGAGCTAGCTAGGGAGAGACACGTGGGGATTGGGGAGAGTAGAGCACCAACAAGAAGATGAGAATATCAACTCAAGATCACATAACATCAACCAGCGGCGGCAGGCAATCTAGTCCTCATGCAGAACTGTCCCACAGAGTGGGTTTTGTGTAACGTGGTCCCTGACCAGGACAACTGCGCTCAAGTTCTTGGGAAGGGAAGTCTAAACCAAAACCAGCATTGCCTGTTACAACTGTCAATGTCCAACAATCAGTATCTCGGACCCGATCCCGGCTATCAACCTCCACCGTCTCGGATCACCCAACTTAATCCTCCGGCTCCTTGTAAGTGCTCTGGACTGGACTGCCAAAACCGGAAGTCCCGGACAACCGGTTGGGAATGAGATGAGGGGGGAGAGAAAAAGTCTAAGCCACGATGCCAATGCTGTTTCTCTTGTTCACTTTTGCCATCTTCCACGTGTCGAGGTCGGCGCAAGTTTGGGCTGGTTGGGGAGGAGGAGAAGGAGGAGAAAGTAAGATGCCACGCGTTCGTTCTTTGCCAGGCGGACTTGACAACCTGACCTGTATGCGACAACTCCTTTGGTTCATGATGAACTATGTCTAACTTGCACTGCCCTCTTGCCTCTCTCTCTCTCTCTCTCTCTTTCTCCCTCTCTCTCTCTCTCTCTCTCGGGTTCCGACCGCTTGATGGTAGGTTATGGGAAGCGGAGGTCGAGACACTTGTTGAAGGGCACCCTGTCAAACACACACCATGTCAATATCAGAACGCAGTTACCTCAAGCACAACTCACCCAAACCCTTGAACGGTCAAACCTTGATATCTCTATTGTATTAGAGAGTGCTGCCACCTCAAAGACAATGCGTTACCTACTCAAAAGGCAGCTGATAGCAGACTTCACATTCTTCCTGACCACCAGGGTGGGGTGATAACACAAACCACCACGCCGCCCGCCGGTCACTGTCACCGTAGCCAAGAGAAAGCTCAAACTTTGCAATATCCAACTGCCTTACTGGCTTGGTATTTTTTTTATGCAAGAGCTCGGAGATCATCTCTTGCACTGCCTCTTCCTTTTGGTGGTAGTCTACCTTGGCCTTGGGTAGGGTCGGTGTTCTTGCGTACCTGCCTCGATGCCCGGTGACGAGCTCAACTCTACCTTGGCGAAGGCGTGATGGAATGGAGCAATGTGGCTGGGATGAGGGGGGGATGTAGTTGGCACTGCCGTTTTGGTGAAGGAAATTGCCTCGTTCAATAGGTACCTGAATGGAATGTCAATTGTTTGCTGTCGGGGAAGAAGAGGGGTCCCTGGCTGCTGGATTGTGATGGGCGCTTCGGGGTGGTGTTAACATCCGGGGATCTCTCCACTGGGCCAAGAGAAGATGGGAAGGTGTGACTGGCATATGATGAGGAGGATGAGAAGAGGGGTTTTGCACAGCCTGGGTTTGCGTGGTCTGGCTGGGAGATAGATGGTAGGGGAGGGTAGGTAGCAGTGGTTTGAGGTGTTGGCCGAGCCGTCTTTTCTGGAGATCACTGTCGCGGTGTAGGCTTGAGGAATATTGAATACACACGCATGTTGTGGAGGGGGTAGTGGAGATAGTAACGTGAAGCTAAGGCCCTCGAACATAATCGACAGGCAATGAAAGATACTCGAAAGGCGTATGGACTATCTCCTACACCCTTGATATTTCATTGCAGTCTCTATTTTCCTGTCCATAGCGTGACAGGTCTTGACTGTATGGAAATTCTCAGTCTGCCTGTCGAAACTCCTTGGAGACCGGCGCGGCTAATGGCACAGCCTCTGAGTGCATCGATTGACGGGCAGACATCTCGATCGTGGATGTTGACAGGCAGACTGGGAAGAGATATCCCAGCCAGTATCTCAAGCAACCCATTCTTGCAACACAATACCTGGTTTTCCTGGCATGCGTCCCACAAACCTGGTACATGAATTGTCTCTACTTGTGAGTTTGCCGCCGGGTCACGATGATGAGCTTTGAGCTGGATACCTAGATACCTATCCTTTTCATGTCCTGTCGGTTATTTTGAGGGATGTGCTTTTTGGGTAGGCATATATCTAAGGTTTTTAACGGCCAGGGAAAAGTTTGCTCTTTTGGGAAGAAAACATAATTTTGAAGAAATGAAGAAATACATGTGAAGTTTCTTTGTGGCGTTTGGATTATACAAAATAGGCCAAAAGGGGTGCATCTAATTGGACTCAATGTCTGTGCAATCGCGACCCTCGTGTTAGGAAAACATCCATATTCATGAGGCCTTTGGTTAACTAAATTTCTCATGGCGTTTGGAAGAGATGGTGTGATGGCTGAGTATCGGCAACTCGGCCTCCTGGCAGCAGACGAGGAAGTCTGAGGTATACCGGCCACAAAGACCTTGGTTGGTGCCCGTGGGATTGGAACTGTTGTGGACATCGTCGTGACACTCTGCAAGTAATGTTTTGGGCTATCCAGTGATGATCAGCCGGTGCTGAAGGATAGGCGTGGAAGCATCAAAGAATAATACATGCCTGAGAGGCACCTCTATTATCTTTTGGGGTCTAAAGATTGTAGTTTAAGGCCTTCATCATTCAAGACCTAGTTGTTATTTTTTTCAAGGACTACTTGTTATTTTTTAAGGCCTACTTATTATCTTTTCGGGCCTACTTGATATCTTCAAAGACATATATTTCCATCTTTTGAGGCGTCGGTTTTAGCCTTTTTGCTATTTTGACTGGGCTGCAGGTACCACTGGATTGTGAGTTGAAGTCATTTCCATCTACCACTCTGCAACAACAGAGTGTCTTGGAATCTGTTATACCGCAGATAGAACCTGGGACGCAGAGATTTCTGGTGGCTGAACTATCGTGAATATACCTTTTCTCATTCCGTATATAAATCGCGTCGAAATGATCATCTCACCTGACTTTCTTCTCTTCTCTGATCGTCTTTACCAGCACCCATTC